TCCTATTCAATCGAATCTAATTCACCAAAGATATAAGAATTGTTGGATTTGAATATATAATTTGGAATGATGTGGAAAATGATTGTGACGTGATTATGTATTTTTGTGAGAGATCCTTTGTGTTGGAATTTCCTATTCAATCTAATTCATTAAAAATAGAAAAAAAAATATGGAAAAGAAGGCATTTCTATTAGTAATATCGAGAGTAAGGACAGTTTTGAAAATTTTTTCGCAAAATTATTTTCTAATGAAGAAAATAATGAGATTAATGCACGGTTTTGCCGATAAATTTTATTACGGTAAACTTTTTCAGTTTCATATTGCTATTTCCTTTTCTAAAATCGATCATAAATCTTAATTGAAAGCGCATATTAAATTTCGATGTAAAGTGAATCGAGTTTTGTCGTGTATCTGAAAAAATTATATAATCGTGACATAAAAATCCTTACAGAGGAGCAGTAAAAAGGCGAGTTCATGAAGCGATCGCGACAGAGCAGGGCAACTAACCGCTTTTATTAAATCTCGAAGGATCGAGGAAATGGCGAAAGTTCGCCAGGATCGTGCTCGTATTTAACCCACAGACTTGTTTCGAGGAATAAAGCCACAGATGGCGGCATACTTTCACCTCGGTATCAATCCGAGCTATCACAGCTCGAAGAATGAAAGATAACCGTATCGAATCTGATTGTAAATGCATCGACCTAATAACATCGAGTGTGTGTCGTCTAGCCGATGTTAATTTTATCGAGAATCTCTTCGGGCACGTTACCGTCCAACGTCATTCTTATTTGTCGTTTCATAAGTTTCCTCGATAGCGTCACTTCTAGCTGGTTCGATTTCTCTATTCACGTTCGATGCGTTTATATTTTACGAGTGAAAATTTCGAACGATCGACGTCCAGCTGCGGAAACTATTCTTGAGAATTTTATGCGTCAAGTTGTAGAGTTTTTCAAGAGGGATCTCTTGAAGCTTATTTGGACCTAGGTATAAAAATTTAAGTGCCGTTTTTATGTACATGATATATTGAAGTAGTGATCGTTGTACAAATATGAAGAATTTTATTAAAATTATTACTATAATTTATGTTTCACGAGAAACTTCAATTTCTATAACAGAATATATCGAATTTTCCAATTTTTATTCTCTGAATTACTAATAAATATTTCTAGCAAAATTATCAAAATATATTTAAGCACAAGTCACAGATCGCTATAAGCAACACGTACATAACCATTTCTCCTCCGTCGCAAGACTTAAAATCTTCCCATTCCCGCAAAAAGCTCATTTCCTTAGTCAGCTCCATACTCACTTTGCAACGTCATGCCGGAGGAACTCGTGGCGCCATCACGTTTAATACGCACTTAACTTTGCATGCGGCGTTGTTTCATGCGCCGTCATTAATTATCCGCAAAAAGTTTCAATCCAAAGGAAGTGGATAGAGACTACTTTTGTCGGTCTGTCTCGGCTTCCGGTCGATGCAGCCGGCGCGCCCTAACCTGTACAGACTCGTGACACTTTACTTGCGCTAGGCGAAAGATTAATGACACTTACTTGGGTAACTCTGCCGCCGCATCCCATTAATACATTACACGATGTCCATCTCTCTCTTTCTCGCGCTTCTCGATCATTGACATCGTCGACTCATCGTCGTCGCCGTTCAGAAACGAATAGATGTCGCTCTCGAAGATTCGATGCTCGATGCTCTTCTCGCGTGTTATATCTCGTAAATTTCATTCCATGGCCAATCAACGAGCCAAGTCGAATCGAACGTTTCTCGACGCTAGGCGTCGCCTCTCTCGGCATGCATCGCGCCATTTCCTTCTGTTTAATCTCTGATTAAGTCGACTGATTGTGCTAATTGCTCTTTGCGAATTACTTGTGTTTTACGACGTGTTCGTAAGACATCCATTCCAAGGATGTTTCTTGCTGGCTCCCGTGCAATTGGAAGATTCTCTTCTTTCAGAGGAGGATTCGAGACGATTGAAATACGATATGACGCTTAGTTTTACGAAATAAAAAGGGACGCGTGTGTGAAAACAATTGGAAAAAGAAATAGCACTTGATATTAAGAATACTTTACTTTATGATTTGTCAAGAATTAAGTATGTATTTTTGAGATATAAAAGATATTTCATTCATAAGTAAATTGTACAAACGATAAAATTTGAGATTTAAACCAGATCAACATAACCTAACCTACAATCTTGTATGCAATATCTGTCATCTAATCTAACTTCCATTTTCTTTATA